GCGAGAAATCTTGCGTCTGCGCAGTCGGACTGTAAACAGTTCCTAAACTAGTTCTTTCACAATACATTCCGTACAGATCTTCAGGAGGAACTCAGAAATACACAGGGGCGGCTAACAGACTTTCTATACGCAGCATGGCTCGCGTAACAAAGAGTTTGTAAAAATCTGCGAACAAATTATAAAGAATAAGAAATTAAACAGAATGATGAAAAATAAAACATTGATTCTAACTTTAATTTATTGAGAAATAGGTTCCCAATCATCTAATTAGTTTACTGTACAACTTTGTTTTGTCGTCGTTATTTAATGATTTTAAAAAATCGATTTTCACACATAACCACCCAAATGGATGATTTTGAACGTCGACTTTGCACTTTAACTTTTTGACGTATATTGGGTACAAACAAACAGACAAGCAATGCACATATATGTGTAGATTAAACACTTTTCAGGCTAGAATTCGACATTATCTTCCACATCAGGTTAAAGTTTCAAGGGTACCGTTGTGAATTGGGCACTTGAAATTACTTGAAATTTCCTGTAGTTTCTTTTACAGGAAAATGTCATAGTTTGAAACAAGTAATAAATTCTTTATCCTTGTTAAAGCTGTAATCTTATTTTAATGAAAAAAAAAAAAAAATTCAACGGATTAAATAAAATTTCGGTGATTTTTGCAAATGTTTTTATTTCACAGAATTTTCTACCAAATACTCTTTGTTCTGTATATTTTAAAAACTAACTAAACTTCAAGTTTATGAGTTTTGTTTAAAATAGATTATACAAAATTCTAAGAAAAAAACACAATTTTCAAAATTTTCCATTAACATTGGAGAAATTGTCGAAGAAATTTAGAGTGCAAAGTAACCCTCCATTAACAAAAAGAGAGTGGCATGCCTGATTCACAACGGTGTGAAATTGTTTCATGTTTGAAAAATCAGTTTAGGATGCCAAGTTGTAGGGATTATAATATTAGAGTTTCATTTCTTTACACTATTATTTTAACCAGGTAATCAATTAAAAACCTGTCATGTTAGGTTAGAACGCAACTTTTTCAGTTTTTACTTTTTTTCGTAATGGAATTTAGTCTTTGTTAAAAACTGATTTTCTAACTCCTATATCTTTACTACTCAATAAAGTAGACCTTAGATATATGAATATTCTGTTAGATTGAATAATCTAAGTTTGCCATTATCCAAGGTTCGCACTATCAGGTTGAAAGATATAAAGATTAGAAAATTTAGGTTTGTGCAGGCTAAGAATTATTTAGACTAGACTTTCATCTGTAGAAATTAGTTTCGAGTTCTCTCGAAGAAAATTTTTTAAAATGTTCTTAAAGAGAGAGAAGAGAGAGACACGGAAAGTGATCTTGAAAATTTTAGTTTCTATTTACTCTTTAATTTATAGTTTTATCGTAGATAGATTTCAAAATGATAAATATCATGAGATAGATAACATTTAACAAAGAAAAAAATAGACTTTTGAAAGAAAAAATCTAGTTTGACATGAAACCCTGAAATATAAATGTTTAGTTTGTTTAGATATAAAAACATTTAACTCATTTGAAAACTAACTAAACTTTAACATCCAGGAATATAATCTTATCTTAAAGGGACTGTAAGCGTCATTTCAAGCGACCCTTCTAGCAAAAATGAAAATGCCAGATTTGCAATGGTGCCCTTTTAATTTTTTATTGTTCATTGAGGACTGAGAACTTCCTGTGAATATCTCTTAAATATTGTTCTAATTTGCGTAAAAGTGGAGTGTACGCAAGCGAGCAGTTTGAACTCGATTGAGCTGGAGTTAAACAAATTAAAGTAATCTGCGACATTTAGAAAGAGAATATTTCTATTTCTTGAATAAAGAACAGCAAACAAGAAGAATAAGTCCGATATCCTTATTAATCAAAATCTTGTCAGTTATTGTTGAGAATCAGACACTCTACTCTCTTAATGGAGAGTGACTGGATATTAAATTAAAAATTTACAGATTAAAAAACCTTAACTTTTCTGACTCTCAAATTCTAATTTTAATATTTCTTATCCTATTCTTAGATCAGCGTTAACATTGCGGAGATTTTACTTTACGCATTGTCTAATTGTCTAACAGCCGGAAAATATACGGGTTAAAAACAAGCCGAAAGCCGACTTTGACTTCGACAGTTGCCTACAGTGGTAGGCGATTATATCAATACAATGAAGACGAATTTTTTATTTAATTAAAAAAGTAAGAATAAGTAAAACTAAAGAAGGTTGCTTTTCATATTTTTATAAACAAAATTATATACAAGGAAAAAATCCCCCTTGAAATTGAAAAGGTCTATTGCAAAAATTTGATTTCCAACAACTCAACTGTTGCAATTTTTCATATATCTCTCAGCAACCTAATCATAAAAGTTCGAGATAAAAATTTCAAATTGAAATATTGTTAAAATATCCTGTCTCAACTCGATGTAGGGGAGGGAGAGGGGGGGCTTAACAGGAAGCTTAGATTAGGTGGGGGGAGGGGGGCACAGGCGGAGCAGAGCAGTAAAAAACACTTATTTCACATTAAATTTATTATCTATCTCTCTCCACTGCGGGGGTAGGGGGAGCATTAGACGATTGAACGTTTTAAATTTTAATCCGACTAGGTTTCATATTTTCCTAAAATGTATTTTTAGAGAAAACAATTTTTCATTAATCAAAACTTTAAAGTTTGGCAGATGAAGACTTATTTAATAAGTTTCATTCTAAATCTCATTATTAGAAAACTGTTTCGAGTTTAGGTTTTTAATAGAGATGGGGGTGTTCGGCAATTTTTCTATTCGGTCGTTAAATACCCATTTCGTTTTTTTTTTAAAGTTTGTTCCAATTGTCGTTTGTTAACGGTCTAAGTGATCCCTAAAACGATTTTAAATATTAGTTTTTAAAAACGATAGTCTTTTAATTTTTCTGAACGATCCAATTCTTTCGTTCATTGTTCCTAAATTTTCTAAATGAAACCATCGTTCACAAAATAAATTTAGTTTTGAAATATTTCGTTCATTACAACGATGCCCATCCCTAGTTTCAACCAGATGAACAGGTTGACTGGACCCATCTCTAGTTTCTACAAGATGAACAGGTTGACTGGACCCATCTCTAGTTTCTACAAGATAAGAAGGTTGACTGGACCCATCTCTAGTTTCTACAAGATGAGAAGGTTGACTGGACCATCTCTAGTTTCTACAAGATGAGAAGGTTGACTGGACCATCTCTAGTTTCTACAAGATGAACAGGTTGACTGGACTTGGTATTAGTCGTTTTGTCAGGTGGTGGCGAAACTAAATAACAATGTTCATGGTTCAAGGTGAAAATTTGGTTGATCTTCATTAGGGAGTGTTTGGCAAGATATAGTAATTGAGCTGAGAGGGTGCAGGATTGATAAAATATTAGGATTTATTTTTTTCATTTATTCATGTTGTAAAATTGCCGAGTATGAGCGCAAACCCGATCAACAAAATATCCCGACCATCTGATCCAAGGAATTTTCTAACATGAAACATTTTAAAAATTCTTTATTAATCATGATGATAAACTTAAGAACATTTTATTTCTTTGAAAGTTTGAAAGTTTTTAGCATAAAGATTTGAGTAGAAATATTTTTTTTCATAAATTGTAAAAAAGAGTTTTGTGAAGTATGAAGTACATTTGTTTTTTTTCAGTGTAGTAAAATTTCCGATTTTTCCAGGTTTAATTCGGAGGGGGTTTTAAAGTTTTATATTGTTTAATCAAAAAATGATTTAAAGCACCTTGTATAAGTTTTAATGTCAATTTAACATCTTTATAAAAACAGCTTATAAAGGAATAATTTGTAAACATTTACATGTAATGTACACCTTGAACTCCTATTCAAGCTCAACGCTATAACTGAAAATATTCCTACCGATCGAGGGAAAAGCTTAATTTTCCTCTTTATAATATTCTCCACTCTAGTGACTGTAGCGTGTGCTTGATTTTTTTTAAGCAAAATTCTGATATATGAAAGGAAACAATCTGTCCAAGGCATCAACGATATAATATTATACTGTTGAATTCAAACAAAAAGAATAAATATCTCTTATTTATAGGTTCTAACTTCTATTGAATATAATCTTTTCTGTTCAAAAGTTTTTAATAAATTTATTGTTCAGTATAACGGGTATTTTTTAATCATCTACAAAAATACCAATATGTCCCACAAAAAGATTTTTCTTAAAAATGTTCTAAGGAAAATTGCTTCTTGTAAAAAAGAACACAATTCTATAATATTTTTAAGAAATGTAATTTTCACGGTGAATAATCTATAATAATTAAAACATACGTTTCTTCAAAAAGGTTTTGTTTAAAGCAAATTCTTTTAGTTAAAATTTTCTTGATTAAAATTATCACATTTATGATCAAATACCCGTCATGGCCCGCAGTGCTCGGCTTTCAATTATTTGATATCGAGGTTTTGTGATTGTATTAAGTTTGCAGAAAACCATACAAAATCATACAAAATCTAATCTAATATAATCTAATCTAATCTAATCTAATCTAATCAATTCTAATCTTATCTAATTTAGTCTAATCTCTTGATAAAATTAAGAAATTTTTTTCTTTTGTTTCAGTTTGTTAGCACATTCCAGAGATACCCATCTCGGAGTTTCTCCGACCAGGGATCCCAGACCAACGGAGATACCGGAGAATATCATAGTGAACCTGGAGAAGGGATCCTGTTTTGAGGAGGGGGACCCGGAGAACAAGATGAACACTTCACACGATAATATCGGGTATCTAGAGACACATTTCTAGCTCAGGGACAGGAACTAGATATATTTCTAGCTCAGGAACAGGAACTAGATATATTTCTAGCTCAGGGATAGGAACTATATATTAATTTCTAGCTCAGGGACAGGAACTAGATATATTTCTAGCTCAGGGACAGGAACTAGATATATTTCTAGTTCAGGAACAGGAACTAGATATATTTCTAGCTCAGGAACAGGAACTAAATATATTTCTAGCTCAGGAACAGGAACTACATTTATTTCTAGCTCAGCCTCTCAGGGACATGAACTAGATATATTTATGGATCAGGGACAGGAACTAAATATATTTCTATATCAGGGACAGGAACTAGGTATATTCCTAGCTCAGGGACATGAATTAGATATATTTATGGATCAGGGACAGGAACTAAATATATTTCTATATCAGGGACAGGAACTAGGTATATTTTTAGCTTAAGAACTGGAACTTGCTTCATGTTTTATGATCCCTTAATAGACATATAAAAAGAACAGATCATTTTCTGACCTAAACGAAGTCGTCTTCATATCCCTTAGTGTACCCATCCCTTAAATAATGAGTTTCATCAGTCACTATATACAAAGTAGTAAGCTCTGTTTGTCTGTTTTGATGTCCGATTATAGCTCATGAACCCTGGGTAAGGATGGATTCTCAAGCTAGTATATAATAATGTTTCTATTCTTTGTGTTGAAACTTATATGTTGTGTTTAAAAATGTTGATCTCTTTATATTGATATGAGCTTAACCCATTAAGAAACAACTTTGAAATGTGATATCAGTTATTTCACCCTTTATCAGGCTCAACTTTATATCAGGCAGTTTTCCATTCAAAATAATTGTATTTCATGTTTTTATTAACGTTGAAAATGTTCATGTATCTACATTAAATATAACGGTTTCGGAAAGACAAATTCTGGTACAATAGTTCCTGAAACGAAAAATCCGCAGTAAACAAATTCCGGAAGATATTTATATATATATTCTTCTCATAATTTATGGTCATTGGCCGCTTGACCTTCAGAATACTAAGACCGCGGTTAAGAGTGGCTAAGTGCAGACGCGCAACTAGAGGTGCCTCAAAATAACGAAATCATTAGTTCAAAAACTCTGGAAAATGCTTTAAATGACGTGCTTTTCACACAAATAAAATTTTTTTGCATGAATTTTACAATAAAAAAATACTTCTAGCTACGGGACAGCGACCTTTGGCTATGACAGGCGAGGGAGCCGACAAAATGTGCCGTTTTATGAAAATTTCAGAATTGCCTTTCAGAATTTACCTCTCTGGAGTTAGAATTTTCGGAATTTACCTCTCCGGAGTTTGTTTATTCGGAATTTACCTTTCCAGAGCTAGTCTGTTCGGAATGTACCTATACGGAATTTATTATTTGGATTATACCTCTTCTGAATTTTCCCTTTTCGGAGTTTGTTTATTCAGAATTCACCTCTCTTGTTTGTTTTTCTTTGGAATTTACTTCTCCGCATTTTGTTTTTCTGAATTTAACTCTCCGGGTTTGTTTTTTGAATTTGCCTCTCCGGGTTTATTTTCTGAATTTACCTCTCCAGATTTTGTCTTTTCTGAAATTTACCTCTCTGGAGTTAGTCTTTTTGAAATTTATCTCTCCGGAATATGTTTTTTTCGGAATTTACCTTTCCGGAGTTTGTATTTTCGGAAGTTAACTCTCCGGATTTTTTCTCGGAATTTACCTCTCTAAAGTTTGTATCGGAATTTACCTCTCCGGAGTTTGTATTTTCGGAATTCGCCTACCCGTCTAAAGATGAAAGTCACATTAAAGAAAATGACCGAGCATGGAGAATAAAATTTAATATTTAATGTCAAGAGGATTCCTAATAATAGTTAAACTTAACTTTAGAGCAGTAGAACAGTTGTTATTTATTATTCAATATTATACATTTGGTTGGGAATATTGTACAAGGGGTGCATCCTATCAAAATATTGTACAAGGGGTGCATCCTATCAAAATATTGTACAAGGGGTGCATCCTATCAAAATATTGTACAAGGGGTGCATCCTATCAAAATAAAGAAATTTAAAGAAAAGTTTTAAATTGGAATATTAAAGCCCATGTTTTTATGTCACAAATATGATGAAATGTTAATATGTAAAAATTTAAATTGTAATCACATTAAGTGTAATAAATATGTAAAAACTGTAAAAATAAAGGATTTTAAAGAATTTTCTTTTTATATAAATGAAGGAATTGTTTACTTGTTAAAACCCCAGCTAGAGTTGGGCATCGTTTATGTATGAATATATATATTATTTTTATTAAAAAAAGAATTATACTAAACACCAAGAATGTAATGCAAGGAAAGTTGATTGTATTTGCGTATACTCTGAAACATATTGAAACCAGTTCTCTCTGGGCGGAATTTGTAAACAAGAATAGATGTCTCAGTGTTCGTTTAGTATCCGAGGAGGTTAAAAGCATTGAATTTTGATAATTTTGATAATTCACATAATAGTTCCATATGACCAGAATATTTTATTGATATATGTGAAAAATGGTTCCCATGTCAGGCTTCGACATCCGTCTTGTGTTTACATTACCGCCCAGTGACAGTACACCTCTGAAATAACTTTCCTTGCATTAAATCTTAACATAATGTTTCACGTCTCAAAATTCTTTGAACAACGCTATATAATAATATATATGTCTGATAATTTAAAAACAGATTAATTTTCTATTTGATTGCTTAACATGTATATATGTACATCAAAGGTTGTATAATAAGGTTGGTTCCTCTTGATTCCCTCCAATATACGGAAAATGTCGTCTCCTAGGATAGATAAAAACCTAGTATGACGTCACTCTCGCCTCTATAATCAGTGACTTGATAAGATGTTTTTATCTATCTGTAGTTAAATGCAGGTTATTTAAGGCATACAAAATTTACAGATGTCACCGATAACGGTGAATTGCCAAGGCCTCATAAATACTGTGTGTATAAATAAAATGTTATAAGAAAATTGCTGCGTCTTCCCTGATATGAATTTTAACCCTAATCCGGCTGGGGAGGGGGGGGGGGGGCCTCGGTCCTAAGGACTTTCTCCCTTATGTTTTTTTTTGGAGATAACTCAAAAGGTGTTGGTCTGAGGGTATTCAAATTTTGAATTTTCTAACTGGACTTAACTCAAAGCGGGGCTTTTATCCTACTACCTGAGTCCTCAGGTGTAGCTGCCTGAATGCCTCATTTTACCTTTACCCGACTAAATCTAAATCTAGGCTTACTTGAGGTCATTGGATTTCAACTTTTCATAGATCATCGGAAAGGCTTGATCTCCTTGATCAATAAGCAGTCTGCACAATTTTGCAAAATATTTTGCAAAGATGCCTTTAAAGAAAATTTGCACATTTTCAGTTTTCCTTGAAAACAAATTTAGTTTTTGAAAAAAATGCTTTTTAAAAAATTTATATTCGCCGTGGCAAAGGCTTTTGAAAAATGTATAATTTATCATTTACCTTTAAACGAAGATATTATCAATTATCAACTGTTCTGATAATAACACTGAGAAATTTGTAAGAAGCAGGGAATCAAATTTAATGAATTTGAGCTCGGTCACTGAACTATATACCGCCGCAGCCGGTTCAAATCACCGATTCAAAGTTAAAGTAAACAAAGGATTTGAACAAGCGCCGGCGGTTTAGCAACCTCACGAATCCATTAAATTGGGCCATGGTTACAATGTTACAAACCTAAAGATTACTTGAATATCAATTATTTGATATTATTGCTTTCTCCAGAAATAAAGTTGCACGCTTTATTTTTTTTCCTGTTAACACATAGTTTAAATTATTATATTTTTTAAAATTGACCGTACAAACTTGAAAATAACATTATTAATAAATATATATTCACAATTCACAAACTTGAAAATAATATCCAGTTTCACTGTCCCCAACGCAAAGTAATTAATTAATAAATACGTTTTAACATGAATTAAGAATGTTGAAGCCAAAGGCTTACTAAGAGGGGGGGGGGGGGTCTATGGAGACAAGGCTCAGCTTCCCCACGGATAAGTGAAATCTATTGTTTTGTTTTGTTGGCCCTAATGTCTGCTGACCTCAACCCTCAGAAAGAAGAAGAAAAAAATTCTTAGTACGCCATGCACTGGGCGCAGTCAGTCGACGTAACTGCAGCGCTTGGCTCTGAAATGTCTTAACCTAACCAATATAAGAAATTTTTGTTGTTGGGAACTTGCTGGTAGGGGGTGGGGTTTCATAAGTACTGTTTTGGATTGAGCCGAATACAGCAGGCCATGGAATAATAGGCCAGACCTGAAACCTTTGAATTTAAGAAAACGTTTGTTTCAATTTGTTTAAAGAAGTTTAAAATCTATTTCTCAAGAGTAAAGTCTCATCAAACAAAACTTTTGACTTCAAAAGTCTGTATTAGTCCAAAAATGGTCTTTCTTTTTCTTTTCCCAAAAAAAAAACGGCAACATTACATTGCTATTGATTAATAATATAAAAAAGATATGGTTATTAGTATTTGTGTAGTTTTGAAAAGATGTATCTTTTCCACTCATACTTCTTTACATGTTTACCATGAAAAAAAACCTTAATAAATAAGAATTGTTCAGTCTTTCATAATTATTAATCGCATTATATGAATTAAATATAGAAAAGCAAAAGATACAACGGTAATATTTAATCATTCAACAGTTAAAATATAGTAAAAGAGTTACAAAATGCAGGTAGACATTCGTTATTTTGTCAAATTTTCTTTACTGCAAGTTTTATGCAATTTTAAGCTGGAAAAAAAGAACGAAAGTCGCCTTTATCTTAAAACACATCTGTTCGGTTACGGACTATATCGTAAATGTTTAAAAACTTCCGTTTCGTTAGCGGAACGTTCTAACTCTAAAGTCACGTGCTGAAACCTGAAAAGGATTAATTACCACTTCATGTTGATTCTCATAAATACATACTAAAGCTTATACAGACTGTACAAGTACATAATTACATTTTAACTATAATACAGCATCCTTGATTCTTAAATACTAAAATATTTTATTAAATCCCTAAATACCATTCATAGAACTTGATGTTATTAAGAGTTAACTGATAATATTCTCGTTGCTGCTCAGAATTTAGAGAGGAAGGAAAGTATCTTGAGGTCTAAATATTTTGAAGATGAACTCTTCTTTGGTATCCAGGGTTACCCACAAAGGATTAGAGTTCAGAGAATACGAAATTTATACCGTCTGTTTCCTAATATTCATAAAATCCTGCAACTGTAACCGTGTTTTCTGAGCAAATAAATAAATAGGCGTTTAAGAACATATTCTAGGCAGAATACTTCATTTAACTTTCGGATCGTCATATCTTAAGAGTTTCAAGTCTTGTTTATAGTAGCTCATCCATTGTGGGTATCCCTGTAAGTAGAATTAGAATACAGGGTGTCCCTTGGACAACTTGATAACATTTTGCCCGAAAAGATTAACAGAATATTAGGTATATCTAACAAATTTTATAAAGACAATAAGATTCTGTTCGTAATAATAAACACAGTGTTCAAGTTTCTAACTATTCTAACCTTTAAAACTGACAGGAGTCGCATCAAACTGTATCAAAATCATTAACTATTCGGGATAATAATGAACGACTTAATTCCCACGGTTCTCAGAAACCCTATAAAAATCCTGAAGGATTATGATCCAAATGGTTTAAAATTTTAGATTTCCAATGAAATTGTAAAAATAACTAGTTTAATACGTCGTCAGAGCATTTCTACACAATCCAGCATATTTTATGAGAATTATCGATTTTTCTCCCTCTCAATTTATCTAATATTAGATTATGTGTAGGAGATTTGCATTTTTCGAAGAAAAATTGTTAAGCTTGTTTACAATTCTTAGTTGATTGGAAGCCAAAAGAAATTTTTGTATTCGTTTCTAAGCACTAAGCAGCAATGCAATAATACCGGAAAATTTACTTGTTCAAACCCCCTGTGGATGAGCGGGGGAAGATAGGCGGCCATGAGCCACAACTATTCGGCTTTTCGTGCAAAAAACAAAAATGTCTCCCGGCAATTTTAACCTTTATAAATGATAAATAAATTGCAATCAAATAGCGATTTTAACAATGTGGCACGGAAGAAAAAAGTTGTGGCTCAATGACCACCTGCCTTCCCCCCCTCTATGGACAGATGAGGATTAGAAAGGATTTCTAATGAATCCTTCATGGGAATCTTTTATTAACGGATAACATAAATTATATTAACAATACTTTTAGAGGTAAAAAAAGGTTTTAACAATAAGAAAAACTTAATAATAGTCATTATATGTCGTCAGTAGTCACTTTCTTAAATTAAAAGACTTACAAAACCAAAAGAAAAATTACAACTGAAAGTCAGTATTTCTGTTCATTAATATATTTAAACACTTAAATCACAGCACTTTCTAATGTAATAATTAACGATAAATGATGTAAAGTAAACTGATTGATATTCAATAAACCCGTATCACAAATATATATCATCTCTTTTCTACTGATCCTTCTCCATTAGTCCTTGTCAGAGGAACTAATATTCTGAGTAAACCATAAAACCCAATCCATTCCTCCGTCCCATGTTTCTTCTCCTGCAATCCTCTCCAGACACGATGCAACCCTACTCAGTATTTCTCCCTCCCATTCCTACAAATATGATAAACTAGAAGTCTCAAGAACAGGATATTGAAATTTTATCATACGCAGATTTGATAAATTTGAAAGCAACGAGGTTTTAATATATTGACTGCTAATGTACACTAATCCTTGACCAATGAATAGGCCAGAGCCCAAAACTTAAGACATGGTATCGTTCTGAAAACCAGTTTTAAAACCCGGGTTTCACGAATGGGGTTAGGCAGTTTTGTGAATATCAATATATTTATTATGAAATATTATTTTATTCAGTTTGTTTATATTCTCAATTTTTTTTGAATCTCATAAATCAAAATGTACACAAATGTTAAGACCTCAAAAAGGAAACTCGGGAGTTTAGTCCAACGATATTCTTATATTAAAAGGAACTACACTACACCGAGTGCGTACTGCATGTTTGATTATTATACTGCAGGTTAGGCCATAATCTCCTTCTATCATTTATTATTAAACTGTTGTAAATGTACAGTTCAGCTATTTAGGCTGGCTGGCTGTCATATATTTTTGTAATCATTTGCGGCATTGATTTTTCAACCTTAGCTTATTTCACAAAGTAACCCTACACTTGTGTTTTTAAAATGTGGTCTACCTATTTTAAAATTACCAGAAAGAAATCATTCATATCTTAGGTAGACCCCATTTTGAAAATAAGAGGGACAAGGTCTATTTTTTGATATTTCATTCAGATATATTATGCGTAAAATAAGGTTGACAAATGAATGCCGCAAAAGATTTCAGCGTTTAAAACGATTTTGAAGTTGTCAATTTTTTGTCCAGAAACTCCACATCAATGTAAGTTATGAAAACCCCTGAAATTCAAAGGGGTCTGTCCACACTTTGTTTTTAGAGATTTATCTTTGANCATTCCCCTTTCTCCTTTATGTGTGTCAACAGTCCTTAAATCCTTTCAGGAGTACTTAAAGGTATTTGTTTTAAAATATAAAAACTTTACAGTTCCAATATATTATCTAAAGAAAACTTCGTAAAAAATGTTTTTTTTTAAATATATTTTTTTGTAAAAAGATTACAACACTAACATTTACACTCTTTTTGGATACAAAACTTTATTATTCATTCACTTGCAATGATCAAAGAAGATTTTAATGTCGCTTCATAATTCCCATGTTCTTTTTCTACTCCCCTGACATTTTTATCTATGAATTAAGGAATTGAGTCTTTGCAACAAACTCTGATTTTCCAAACCCTGTATCTTTGCAACCTAATGCGTAGACCTGAAATATCAACGGTTTACACCATCTGGTTGCATATATATGGGGATTAAAAAATTTCGATTTGTGGCAAATATTCAATTCCTTTTAGTCCTATAATGATATATATACCTGCTGAATAAGATCAATACATGAATCTTCAAGAGCTAGGATGGGTAGAAGCTTTTCCTTTAGAACTATTTTCAACAGTAGTTCCATCTAAATATGGATATTTTCCTTTAGACCTAGTTTCAACAGTAGTTCCATCTAAATATGGATATTTTCCTTTAGACCTAGTTTCAACAGTAGTTCCATGTAAATATGGATATTTTACTTTAGAACTAGTTTCAACAGTAGTTCCATCTAGATATGGATATTTTCCTTTAGAACTAGTTTTAACAGTAGTTCCATCTAAATATGGATATTTTCCTTTAGAACAATTTTCAACAGTAGTTTCATCTAAATATTCATTTGATGTTGTTGCAAAGCAAATATAGCTTTACTAGTTAGTTATTAATTCACTTATTAAGTGAAATGGGTTTTACACTGCACTATCGCTGTGTCTCGTGCTCATTGGACTATTTAAAGTCATAACTTGATTTTAAAAGTTGACTTCCTATTTCAGAGTTTTCTGGTTATCACTGTATGTAGTTAATAAAAAAACATTACCTTCTCCCAGGTCTGGTCGGAGTTATTAGACTGCTCCAGGATAGTGAGAGAGGTGGGAGAAACAAGATTAAGGATCTGAATCGGAGTAATCAATCTCCAGACCCTGAGCAAGGATGAAACGAGGTCTAATGTAACTGTATCCGGGTATCCAGAGATCAGGCTCAGAATCCAGTCAACACTAAATATTTAACATGTCATGCAAAATAATTTAACTTGGGATCCATTAAACCAAAGTTTGAAATATCAATGGTTTATACCATGAGGTTGCAAAGATATAAGATTAAGCAAACTACATTTTGAGCTAAATGGTCGTTTCCGTTGACGCAAATATAAATCATTCGGCGTCAAATAGAATGATATGGATCCAAACAAACTTTGCTTGCTACTACTCTCGTTTGTGATATTGCTAGCGATGATTGCTTTCTCTTTTCCCACTTAATTTCAAGAAATTAATTGTTTATTTTGTATAATTGCAAATTAGCGTGAAAATCCGTCCCCTCCCCCCCCCCTTTAGTTTTATATTTAGAATCTTCCAAAAATTCCAAATTTCCAGAATTCAAGTATGAGTTTGCAAAATTTAATAACTCAGATAAAATTTCAAAAATAACCGCCAAAGGACGGAAATTACATCTATGGAGGCGAACAGATATTATGTTTTTAGAACAGATTTTTATGGAAATATAAGGTTGAAAGAAAACTGCTATATTGAACATTGCGTCAAGTAAGAAATAGGATTTCGAGGGGAAATGTGTAGATCCCCATATGCAGATGTAACCCAAAATGGAGGGTTCAAGATTTGATTGTCATAGGATTTTCTTGAATTCTAAGGAATATTACGAAGAAAATATCTACTTCAAACCATATATTTCTAAGATTAATATATATATGCATATATCCATATTGGTTTACGGACACAAGACAATACAAAAGAATTAACAAAAAAACTAAAAAGAAAAGCCACAAGAAAAATTCTTTCAGAGATCACAAATGATATATATGCGTTAAATCTGGGTTGAGAAGATTTATCACGCTCACCTGAATCCGATCAGAATAAAATCCAAAATTATCATTTTACTTTCATTTCCGACAAGAAAGAAAATGTGAAAGGAAATATTTGAAAGAAAAATATTTTTCTTCAACGAGTTCCTGAAAAAGAATTTTTAAAATGAGTTTAATTTTTAGAGTTATTTTCTTTTCCATTGATGTTGAGAAACAATTTAACGCTGTCAGAAATATAAATACGAGATAAATCTTATTTTGTATGAAGGGAAACCAACCTTAAAGACCCTAGACCTAGAACACCTACAGGAGTCAAATCCATCCTGTTTTTGAGACAGGTTTCAAGGTTCTCCAGAGTTTGAGAACAAGTCTCCTGGTTCCAGGATTGGTTGAGTAGGATCTGAATGATATCCTGCTTGAGCTGGATCATGACGGATGAAGGGGTCGGAGCTGAAGGGTCATGTTTCTCCAGAAGTTCAGATTTATCAATTCCTCTTCCACAGTTTTTTTCTATAGTGTTAAATTTTAGATGTTAGGTACTTACTCAAAGGCATTTTCCCAACTGGCAACTTTCCAAGTCAATTCTAGCCTTAGCGCTCGGCCCCTTAGCCTGTTCTAGCCGCAACGTGCTTCAGCTGCCCCCCCCCCCCTCCAAAACACCCTGCGCTGTCTCAGAAGTCGCAATTGGGACAATGCCTTTGGGAAAGTACCTAACATTCAAACCTTTTGTTTATAATGTTAATTATTCGGAAAAATTACTGATGAAAAATAATTAGAGGCTAAAAAGCAAAATAAGTTAATTAGATATCTAACTATAAGATTAAACTGGTATTATAAATAAATAAATAAAAGAACAACCATCATTCCGTGGAAATCAAGGCCGAGACCGAGAAATAAGCTATATTGTGTATCTTACCAAATTAATGTGATTGAACAAGGTACTCTATACAGCGAATAATTAAATGTTTATAATTATTATCCTAATACAACAAATCCTCATAGGAAACCTTTTAATCAATTAGGCATATATTTTATCAAGTAAACTACTAAAGCCATCTTTTTAATATTAATAAAATTGTTGGTCTAGTAGAGTGGTTTAGCGGCTGAATATAACATCAAACATAAAAACAGACAGGACTGTAGACGTAATTTCAACTAACCCTCCAGTTGGAGGTGGCATGTTCGATTCACAATGGTACCCTGTTTAACACTGGGGGATGAACTGATGCAGGAAACCGACACACTAAAGTGTACGGCAGTGTACAGTGTGAACTCAACATAGCTGACTGAACATATTTCCAGAGAATCGCAAATATTTTATGTCCAATGCGATTTTTGAAGATTTGACTGGAACGATATTAAGAATTAAACCTTCAAGCGTTTCTGTGGCTTAAATAATGATAACAGTCTAGGGTTTAAACGATATCGTTTTGAATCGGACCTGACACTATACAAAAGTAGGGTCACAATTGAGATAACGTTTACGGTCACATTTAACATAAATGTTATGGCACATACCTTCTTGCTTTTGCAATCTTTGCTTTTCTGAATTGAACTCATTAAAGAAGAATATGTTTGTGAGATTCTGCTTGATCCAGACATCCACTCTCTCCTCTAGGTTCCTCAATACCACATAGCTGCAGGTCATCTTCAATAAAAGATTATATCTATATATATTAAGAAATAATCCTGATTGTATTTCCGATTTTATAACTTCTCAACCCCTGGACCGAATTGGGGAACTTAGTTTGTTTTTAAAATTATTAATTGAGTGCGTTGGCTTTAACAGCGAAAGTTTAGTTTCCAGACAAAGCTAATGCACAACGTCCCCCCCCCCTCTAGTTAATTCTTGTATCAACCCCCTCACCCCGCAGGATATACCTAAAAGTAAAGGACCCAAGAATTCGTTTCTCAAATTTTAAAGATCAACCGTAGATAAATTTTATTTCGCAGTTTTGACCATTTTAACATCAAGTACACACAGCTTGACGATCAACATTTTGAAATGACTCAGAACTAAAGTTGTTCCGGTTCAAATATATAAATATAAATAAATCATCATTGAGAAAAATTTAATGAACTTTTTTTTGCTTTTAAATAATATCTAGTCGTAAAATCAGTTTTAGAAAGGTTTTTTATTTTCAAACTCCACAACTTTTTAAACGGTATTTTAAAAGTCTTGGTTTCTCTCAAATATTTCTAGAATCCAGGAATAAAAATTCAATATTTAGTTAACTAAAAATTTATAAATGTCAAGATTATTAAAACTTAATAAAGATTAAAAATTAAAAATACGAATTTCAGATTAAATTTGATTTCTGACCTTAGCAGAAGGATCGATATCTCCCGCAATAAGAATATCTAGGAGGGATTCAGCTTCACTTTTACCCTAAACATATAATACAAAAAAACTCAATTTAGTTTAAGCTATTTTCGTTTAAAGGAACTGTAAGCGTAAGTGACAGTGACCCTCCATGCAAAGTGTGCAATGAGTTATTTAAAACGGTATCCTTAAAAGCTTTGTCTAATCATGATATCAATGTTTATAATTTTGAATAATGAATATTTCAGATGTAGTTTCTCCGCAGAAGTTACTTGTTAATTTCTACTGAAGAAAAACCTATTTGAATTATCAGCATCAAACACTCTCAAACCTATAGAAAACGACAATATAAAGGGTGCCGTTGTGGATAGGGCATTACAGTCTTTTCATGGAAGATCACTTGAAATTACAGTCCCTTTGAGAACATTAAATTCTGTCAATAATTGGCGGAATGTTTTCAAAAATGTTTAAGTTTGTCAGTGAAGGGAAATGTAATTTGAGATAAAGTTAGTTGATAAAACCATCCAATTTTATTCTCTAAAGGGATAAAAAGGCGTAGTTCCCCCTCGTTTAAGATATTAAATGGATTTTTTCATAACAAAAATGTTGTTCTCACTCGAAGATTGGAACTCTAATATTCTGAATTTCAGAAAAGGGTAGCTTGAGTATTTATAAACGTACTACTACTAAATAATATTCACTAATCAGTGAATGATAAACTATAAAAATGTTCAAAAGGATTATAAATTAACCCACAATTTGTAAAAATGTACTTGAAGCCAGAGGTCAGAGCTTTAGTGCAGAGAATCGTTTTTTTTTAAAACGCTTAATCTCTATATCCAATAAGAGCACTTATAAATTTGAGGACAAATATTTGATCTCTCAATTAAAGTTTTCCCTTCAGGGTGGGAGGACCATCAAGAGAATATGTCGAAGAGGAATTAAATCAATCCGTATGTCTGCATAAGATGTAGATCAATGCTTGATCAGAGATTTATAACACAATAGTTCTGACTTATGGGCGTTTAAATCCATAAAAGAATACAATCTAATAGTATTGAATAGTATTGAGTATATAAAGATATTTAATTAAATTTTCAAAATTAAAAAAGATTAAGCCTTCAGAGCTATAGGAATTCTTGTATTGTGGATATCGAGATGAATGCTTAATCTCAATCTATTTTAAAGGGAGTGACCGGCTATGTAAGGTAGTTAAACTGAGTATGCAGTGTTGTGGAAAACTTCTTTCGGATTCATTTGAGACATATAAAACTTTTTAAAGATCTGTAAATCCTGAGTTTGAGCGCAAATTCGACGTTCAAAACTCCTACTTTGGGGGTGGATACGTTTTCAGAATTAGTTTTGCTTTAATTATTAAATAACGACAACGAAAATTAAAGTAAAAATTATACAGTAATCTAATTAGATGGTTAGGAACATATTTCTCAAAAGAAATTTGTCAATAAATCAATGCTAAAATCTATTATTTCGTGTTTATTATTATATTGAATTTCTTATTTTCTTTGAATTTTTTCGCAGATTTCTTCAAATTCTTCAAATGTCGTCTTTTCAATAATAATTCTAGAAAATCTGCTAAAACTTTGTGAATAATGAGAAACCAGAATAATGAGATAATAGAAACTAATAATTGAACAAGATTACTTATTTTCGATGATAAGATTAATTTCTATTTTCTCAACATGTTCCTATACATGACGTCTGTAGTTTATTCTAGAACTTTTTACATTTTATGTCGTCCTTATTTAATAAGTTAAAAAAAATAATTCTGAAAACGTATCCACCCCCAAAGAAGCAGTTTTGAACATCGAATTTGCGCTCAAACTCAGGATTTATAGATCTTTAACAAGTTTAATATGTCTCAAATAAATCCGAAAGAAGCTTTCCAGAACACTGTATACTCAGTTCAACTACCTTACATAGCCGGTCACTCCCTTTAATCTGCAGATTAATTAAATATTTATTCGATATCCCGCATGGTTATCAATATCGTACCCAGTCAGGGGTTGAAGGAAGCTTTGATCTGGGGAGGGATAACTAAAATTAAGATATGGAAAGGTATAGTTTTTTTTAAAGATCCTATAACTAAACGTTCCCTCTGTGAATATCAAGATCAAGATATTAAGATAGAGCGACTAACCATTTCAATAAATAATATGCGTTTTTTCCTCGAGCATTTTCCTTCAATTATATCAAGGTAAGGCGCCAACTAAAGAAGTTTGTATTCAGAAAACACTTAATTCTGTTAGACACAATAAACTAAGTTTCAGTGGATGAACGAATGTATGATGGATGTTTGTAAACAAGCACGGTTGTACGTATTAAAATAAAAAGGTGCGAGGTAAATTAACTCAATATTTTTAAATGCCGAAACAGTAAATTATTGTTTCAACATGAGCCTAATCAAATTGATTACAGACCGCTGAACCACCAATACCGAGTTCAGTGTCCTATTTGTACAGTATGCGAATTCTCTATTGGCCCATCCTTGAATTATATGATCAATGTAAAAGATTAGAAACCTTAGATTTGATGATGTTAAGAACCCCGGTCTGAACTTTCTTCACACTCTCGTTGCTCATCTTCTCCAGATCCTTGAGCAAACCAATACTTCATAGAATTTTTAGATGGTTTTCAATAATTAATTTTAAAACCCACATTGCCAGTCCCTTGAGGAGGGGGCACAGTAGGGTCTTTTAGAGGGTCGGTGGGGTGGGGGTTGAGGGGTGACTGGTGAATGGTTTTTGTCAAAATCTTATTCTTAAAATGCATATGCCTAATGATTCATGATGAGAATGGACTAAATAAATGTGTTCTGATATTTTAATGTGTTTTTGTCGACAATTATGGATAATTTGCCACAAAATTTAGCGTTTTGAAAAATTACAATATTTCAAAGTTGTATCATGCTATGTACGCATGATGACAATAGGATGATTTAAGGAAATTTCATATTTTTAGGAAAACTATCAATTTTATCTTTAATTTATTGTTGTTTAGTAAACTATAAAATGTACTTGGAAAGTTCGGTTGTTCATTGTCAACATTGGAAACATGTTAAGATAAAATATTGATACTAAAACATAAGGTTTGGAAACAGAAACTATTTGATTTTATGTTTCATGCCGCAATAGATTACATATATGAAAAGAAAAACCCTTGAAACAGCACAGATACGGAGAAAACAAATGTTTAGGAGATAAAGTAAAGAAGGTGTCAGAACTTTCCCTGGGATATTTGGAAAGATGGAAAGTTCCCTCTCTGATAATTGAAGGACTATAGTAGGGTTTGATAAATCATATAGCCGAACTAAGCCTGGGGTGTCAGAAATCATTTTTTGCATATTTTTTTAAACGTCCTTTAAACCTAATAAAGTTTATTTTTTTATAGAACTTTTTGTTATGAATGATTACAAATATCTTTCTAGAATTTTCTTCTTTATGATTATATCAGAAAGTTTTGAAATCTTCTTCTATAAAAAAATTTATGAAGATAAATTGGTCATCTTTATATCAAAATCCTAACATGGTCAAGAGTAGGATGAGAAATGTGGTGCCCACTTTTAAAATTTGCCCTAGAAGAAAAAACATTTCCAAAATTAACAAAATTTTGAACCTTTGTTGAAACTAAATAAAAGGGAAAAGTTATGTCCTATATTTTTTTAAAAAGGGGGGGGGGGGGGGGGGGGGAGGTCTATTTGCCATTTATAATGTCAGATTTCGTGAATATTATTATCAATTTGTTCGAATTTGAATTAATTGGCCAATAATAATAAGATTTGATAAAATACAGAGAGGAACTTGATTATTTTAATCAAAACTTTAGCTGTGATCTTGACAAATGTGCCCCCCCCCCACACACTGTATGTACTGATCAGTGATCATGTCATTCTAAATTCCCAAAGGAAAAGATTTTAATTTAATTATTAAAATAGTTCAAAAAAACATTTGAACTATCAAAAATAAAAAAGTTAATAACCAAATTTTGTGAAATAATTTTAAATGTTAACAGGAAATATTTAAGAATTAGAAGTTAATTTAAAAGATTAAATAGTATTTAAACTTGACAATAGGAACATTTAATACAGTGAAGTGTGATATTTTCTTAAATCACTTACACAAGAAAAATAATTTTCTATTTTAAATTCTAATGCATGTGTATAAAAAGGATTTTTAACCAAAATCAAAAATGCCTTAAATGGGGTTTAAAAGGTGAAAATATAGGGAACTGAATGATTTTTTAGGGGAAACCTAGCAAAGTTTTGGGTAAAAATATCAAAAAGAACAAAATAAAACTTGTTCATTCAACCCCCTCCCCTGGAAGGTTTAAAAATATACACCCCCGAGTAAGATATTGTTGCTTTTGAATAACCAGGGGTGTATACAGTTTAAATGGTTAGAATATAAAAGTTTGGTTTGGTTCCTGAGACTCCAGTGTATTGAAGGTTTGTTGGATCTCAGTAAACACTGAATCCCTCACTTCTGGAACCAGGGTTCCCCTGATTTTATCAATATTCAATATTTTTACAAAAATTGAATAAAACGTCACACTTGTAGTGAAATTTATTTCAAAATCAACAAATCAAAGTCATGCAAATATGCCCAATTACAACGGTACTCTGGAAAGCTTTGTCTGATCAAGTATGAATTATACCTCAATGTTTTTGTTATTGTAATGTAGCAATTTGTTCATTTTTATTTATTTGCGGGTTCTATGCGCATTTCTTGTTTATAAGAAGCATAGGAGTATCTCACAGAAATAGACACTTATCGAGTCAAAGGAGAAACGACGGTATCTTCCACACAGTTGGAAATTGGGCATTGCGATCTATGCATGTAGGGTCATTTGAAATTACGCTTACAGAGTCCCTTTAAGTAGGATATACAATTCGAGATTTCATACCAATTGTCCTCAAAATATTTCACAAAAATGAATTAAAACTCTGTATTGGTGAAGTTGGATAACTATCGCTCCGTATGATGAATGCAAATTGCTAAGTACACGCTCCTGTGTTTATTCCGAATGCTGATATTGGTTTACCACCTTTTTACCAAAATACCGACCTATGATTCCCCTTGGGGCAGTTATGTAAAATAACCTCCCGTTCTACGAAGTTTTCGGGAAAAATTCCCGCATTTTCATCACAAAAGACGGTAAAATTGTATACAACTACTTTTTCGGGAAAATAAATGTTGTTCACAAAATATCCCTCGCTGCGCTCTGGATGTTTTGTAGACAAAATTGGTCTTGGAAACCCTTGGTAAAGTAAAATTCCCTTAATTCCCCTGTAGTGTAAATAAGTATTAATACACAAACAATATACTGTGAACTTTATTCAATATTTATTCAATAAGTAGTTATTGGAATTCGAGAGAGATGTTAGAATAGAATTTGAGCTAGTTGGCCCCCCCCCCCCCCTCCTCTAGAATATGGAAGGAAATTGAATTATTCCACATCTTGAAGTAAGTAATCCAGTCATAGAACAACTTTGTTTCCATGCAATAATAAGAATAAGAGTAAATAATCATTCTGGCAGAGGTGGCTTAAGGGGGAGGGGAGGGGGGAAACTAGGGGAGACGTCCCCCCCTGGAAAAATTAGGAGCTTGCAAGAAGAGAGAGCAGACACCTTCTAGCCATTTAATTTTGACTTTTAAGAATAGAATAAAAAATTCTTCCGGCGCAACTTTTTAACTCAAAATGACGATTTTTTGGTTGTAAAAATCCAAATCTTTTACTTTTACTTTCAAATACTTTCTACCTTACACTCCCAGCTGGTCATGGTTTAGACATAGAATTGGCCTAATTCCCTTTCAGGAGGGNGCGCGCAAAAGTTTTATTATCACCCCCCTGCAAAATATCATAAGCCGCCCCTGCATTCTGGTTGAATTCGCCATCCTTTCATTTGTTTCGGATGTTATTTAACAGTGTTATTGTGGTAAATAAAACTTTTTAGTTTCTTATTTTTACTCTTTTCAAATCTGATAATTACTATTAACCTTCAATTTCTGGTTTAAACTTTATATTATAGTTGTAGCAAAACCAAACAATTCTTTTCATGAACAATATTTCTCTGCTCTTTTAGAGAATGATTAACATCAGAACCCCCCCCCCTTTTTTTCTTCACAAATTCACAAGTTATAGGTGGCGTAACTTAAATACTCTAATTGAGCTACAGTCTTAAATATTAAAAAATACCTCACAAATTGTATGAAACTATTAAATACAATGTTGAAACCTGCAGCCGCCACCTGAACTATGGACGTTACTAGGTTTAAACAATTATAAGCAAGCCTTTTAAATTGACTTATTCGGACTAAAAGAGCAGCTTCTATTAGGAAAGTGGAAGCAGCATACCCACTGCCAAGCAAAACAAACTTCTCTCAAACCCCCCCACACCCTTTCCTAAGAATCTCTTTTGTGTTTAAATAACCCTTCAAATATTGTGAATATTTTTAATATTTTACAATTTCAATATTATGAAGGATGTTTTCTTGTGTAAAAATGTTTGAAAAAAATGTTCACCTGCAGTGGTAGGCGATTATCAATACAATGAAAACAACTTTTTTATTTAAGTTTGATTGTTAAACAGGTTTTTTTTGAGTTACAAGTTTACAAGTAATTCAAGAGAAGCTTTTTTGAAATGTGGAATTTTTTATGTAAAGTCTAGTACGGTCCAGAAAATTTCAATTTCAGTTTTATTTTGTAAGTACAAACAATATTCAAATATGAAATAGATAAATTAAACGTTGGAAACCTTTCATCTCTTATTGAAAAATGGTTGCAGATGTGGAACTCATTTAGAAGGTTGAGCTTTCTGAAGTGTTAATATTTTCAACAGAGAGATTAAAAAGATCAAAAACTTGTTTATACTTAATCGGCAAGTAAAAAAGCGTTCAAATTGCTTTTTAAATTTGATTTCCGGAGTAGGGAAAAATTATCTAAAATCTGGAAAAATCAAAGTAAGATCTTAATCTCATTGTTAACTAATTATCTCAGACAAGTCTGAACAGTGAAGAGTAGAATCTGATAAAAGCATGAATATTGAATAAATGATTTCCTAACAAGCTTGATGATATTGCTGGCCAACCTCTCAGAAACAAACTCTACAGTTCTGCGGAGTGAAGGAGGTTGGTTCTGGAAAAAGTTCTCCTCCAACTCCTTCTGTAGCTTCTCAGTCTAAGAGAAAAATCAGGGGTGAATATTTTCTAGAAAATAATTTTTTCCTCCAGAAGTTAGGTATGTTTCAGCGGAGCGCCATTTTTTGTTAGGGTTTATTCGCTGAATAAATAAAGTTTCGGATAAAAAGTATCAAAAAGAAATGAAAAAACTTGTCTTTTGAAATCCAATTTTTAATTCCCCCCCCCCCCCAGATCTTTAAAAATAATGATCAAAAATATACACATATGGAGATTGAAGAACAAAGAAAAGATAAAAAAAACAATAAATAAAGAAGTTAACTTTTCTTTTTAATTTTTAAAATGCCAGTGTAAATTGTACCAGATGTACCTGTCTATCCTGGACTTGACTTGGAGCTGATACTGGAGTTATCTTTCGATATGTATCCTTCTCTCCCTGTATATTACCAGGCTGGGGGGAGGTGAGCAGAACCTGAGTAGATTAAGTTTTTTTGGGTTTCATTTCTAACGGATTCATGTTGTTTCTTGTTCTTTCACGTTGTTACATTTTCATGCTGTTTCTTATTGTTTAATGATGTTTCACGTTGTTTCATGTTGTTACATTTTCATGTTGTTACATTTTCATGTTGTTACATTTTCATGTTGAAACATTTAATGTTGTTCCACGTTGTTCTCATGTTAGTCCATATTGTTTCACGTTTTTTTCACGTGGTTGTTTTTTCACGTTGTTGTTGTTGTTACCTGTTGTTATTAACCGGGTGTTACCTGTTTTTACCTGTTGTTACCTATTGTTACCTATTGTTAACTATTGTTACCTGTTGTTACCTGTTGTTTACTGTTGTTTAATGTTGTTTACTGTTGTTTACTGTTGTTTACTGTTGTTTACTGTTGTTTACTGTTTTTTACTGATGTTTACTGTTGTTTACTTTTACTGTTGTTTACTGTTGTTTACTGTTGTTCACTGTTGTTTACTGATGTTTACTGTTGTTTACTGATGTTTACTGTTGTTTACTGTTGTTTACTGTTGTTTACTGCTGTTTACTGTTGTTTTCTGTTGTTATATGTTGTTTCATTTAGTTATTTTCAGTTACATTTAGTTGCATCTTAATTAGTTTGCTTGGTCTGCACAGTTGCTTATGGTGCAAAGCAGTTAGTACTGGGACGGCAACCTCTCCTGTACTATCTGTTTAATCTATGGTGTATATACAGCTATAAAAAAATTATTAGAAAATATGCTCTTTTCATCAGATCAATGGAATTAGTTATTTCGCGGAATCTTTCTAAATCGGGAGAACTTCTTAATCAATTCATATTTCTAAAAATATTCCGAGCATCAAAAGAGGTTGGAAATATCTTTTTTAATCATCCCCCCCCCCAGACAGTTCATTTTCTTTCGAGTTCCTAAGATGTCCTATAAAATATGGATGACAAAACGTTATTCAAAAATCATTGGAGAAAATATAATCAAATCAAAATCAAAACTTCTGAAATACAAACAATAGAAACAGAGGCGCATTCAGGGGGGGGGGCTATTGGGGCTAAGCCCCCCCCCTGGACCAGTGAAATCTATTGATTTCAGGAGGTTTTCAGGCCCCAACGGGTGCTGAGCTCCCCCCCCCTGGAAAGAGAAAAAAAAAATTAAGCCCCCCACCCCCTTGACAAATTCCCGAATACGCCCCTGAATAGAAACAAAGTTATCTTGATAAGCTAATTAAAAGGAGTGACAGAGGCAATGAATGTTGGTTGAACTGAGTATTTAGTATTGTAGAAAATCTTTTTAGGATTCATTTGAGACATGATGTATAATTACTGAGTTTGATAGAAAGTCAAAGTTCAAAATCATGAATTTGGGCGTGAACGTTTTCAGAATTGTCTTTTTTTAAATTTTAAATAACGACGACAAAAAATACAATAAAAATTATACAATAAACTTTTAGATGTTTTGGAACATATTTCTAAAAAGAAATTTGTTAATAAATCAATGTTAAGAATCAATTATTTTGTTTTCATCATTAAATTGAATTTCTTATTTTCTATGAACTGTTCGCAGATTTCTACATATTCTTCAAATGTCGTCTTTTCAGGGATGGAGGAAAAGAGGGGGGGGGGGGGCGGAATTAAGAGAGAGGATTTATATTTATATATTAAAGAAAAAATGAAGAAATGAGTGGGGGGGGTTTATCTTCTATCAGCAAAACATATGAGACAATTCAGTTGTGATACTGATGGGCTTTTTTTGACTTTTGCTTTCCTCACACAATGCCAAATGTTAACCCTGAGAGAAGATATATGCAACAAACAATAAAACTATCGTTTTAAAAAGATAGTTTTTTTTTTATTTTTTCTTCAAGTAAAATTTATGTTTAATAAAAGCAAACTTTTTATCTCTAAACTCCAGACAAAAATGTTTTCAATTTGTTTTTTTTTTTGAAGATATGTTAATGAGAAGACCATTATGAAACATCAGAAAGATTATTGCAAAATAAAAAAGTAAATATTCCATACTGGAGGCAAAACAGCAAAGGATTAATTAATCTTCATATCGTAAATTCTCTGTACACCCAGCTATTGTTTGTTTATATTAATATATCTGTCCTCAAGGTTGTAACGCAAGGAAAGTTATTTCAGAGGTGTACGCATCTTTTGTACTGCAGTGTACTGTCTCTGGGCGGTAATGTAAACACAAGACGGATGTCGAAGCCTGACATGGGATCCATCTTTCACATAAAAAATCAATGAAATATTCTGGTCATAGGAAATTATTTTGTGAATTATCAAAATTATCAAAATTTAATGAAAAAACCTCATCGGATACTAAACGAACACTTATGCATTTATTCTGGTTTACAAATTCCGCCCAGAGAGAACTGGTTTCAATATGTACGCAGAGTTTACGCAACTAAAATTAACTTTCCTTGCATTTTAACCTTGTCTGTCCCACTATATCAGTGTATGCTTTAAACCAGTTTTAAATTTTAAATACAGATGCTGCAACTTTAATATTATGAACTAAGCTTTTACTCGATAAACTATGCGAAGCCCCCCCCCCCCCCATTTTTAAAATGTTTAAGCTTTGAACTCTTACAGTTACCATTTTTAATTAAATTTTCTACGATTTATAGGTGAATTTTCAAAATTAATTAATTTCGACATTTTCAATTTCAATCAGCCATAACCTTTCCCAGTGCTCATATGTGAGTTGTCTCAAACATTATGGGCTCGATCGGTTCAGCCATTTCGCGTACGTGGATACAAACAAAGGATATAAACGAGAAGGGTCTTTGAAGAATAAATTAGATGAATGAGATACAAACCTTTAATTCCGCTAACCAAGGACAGCATCGGTAGAGTAGGCTCTGGGGTATATATAGATTTCGATCTAACAATATCCATTTTCAATAAATCAAAACCATTAACAAAAAATGGGAGGGGGGATGGGGGGCAATAAAATAAAAGTAATCAACTCCATCTCATGACTGAAGTTTTCTTAAATGAACAAATTGAAAATGTTTTTAATGTTTATAAAAATATTTTACGTTAGAAATATAAGCCATGTGTTTCTTAAAACTTATTGAATTATCACTGTTAAAACTGAGAAAAGAGTGAACAAGTGAAATTCTAAAAAAAAGGGTGAAATAGAATATAAAGCTTAGTTTTAAAAATTTTACATTTCTTTGTGATGATGAGATAAAAGGATTGCCTAGAGAGGATTCGTCCTGGTTAAGTATCTGGTATGGTTCAAACCTTGCCAGGATCAGGAGATCCCGGGGGAAATCTTCCTTCTCCAGTAGCCAACCCATATACGTACTAGATATAATTTTATAACAAGCAATAGTTTTTTCTTCTATAAAATATCTTTGTGTGAATTTAATACATTTCTGATGCAATTAAAGATTTTTTTCTCATTCAAATTTTTGCTGAAATTACCTTACAATAATTTTTTTGCAGAATAATCATATTGAAAGATAAAAGATAAAAATAATTTCTATAATGTCTCAAATATAACATATGGTTCGATGTTGTATCCGACATACCTGAGAAAAAACCCAAGACTAGGTGATATCATCTGATCGTTAGGTTTCAAAACATGCTGGTATATCTGGATCAAACTAGAATATTAGATCTGGATCAAACTAGAATATTAGATCTGGATCAAACTTAAGGCACATTCAGATCCAATATTTTTCAGATTAGAACTCCTAAATCTTGATGATACATATAAACTAGGTGTTCTATCTTTTATGCATAAATACTTTTATGAAAACCTTCCAGCTTCCTTCCATGATATGTTTAATTCTTTAGCTGAACCAAATAGAAAAAAATCATATAAACTTGAACGGGTTCTCTTCAAAACTCTAGAATGTTTTCCCTCTGCTTTATTTCCAAAAATATGGAATTCAATTGAATTAGAGCTGAAAGAAACTAAATCTGCAAAATCGTTTAAAAGAAAAGTCGCCAAGATCTATTTAGATAGTTATGCAAATCATATCTGTAAAAAAAAAAACTGTGTATCATGTGGATAAACTTAGTCTTTACTATCTTCTTCACCCTGTAGTTCATAAACATGATTCTAATAACTTATGTTACCCTCTGTTCCAACCCTTACGCTGAGTATCCTCCCTTTTCTTTATACTCCCTCACCTCCTCCTTACCTTTTATCTGATTTATTATCATTCTTATGTTTAAAATGTACAATGTATATTGTTTTTATCTGCAATTCTCATTCGTTTATAGTGGGCCAACCAATTAAAACAACCTACTCTGGTTAGGCGGGTCCAAACTACATAGTAAATTGTGATTTTTTTATTTGTATTATCTCTTGCTTTGTAGTTGAATAAAAATATGAAAAATATGAAACTAGAATATTAGATCTGGATCAAACTAGAACATTAGATCTGTATCAAACTAGAATATTAGATCTGGATCAAACTAGAATATTAGATCTGGATCAAAGTAGAATATTACATCTGGATCAAACTAGAATATTAGATCTGGATCAAACTAGATTATTAGATCTGGATCAAACTAGAATATTAGATCGGGATCAAACTAGAATATTAGATCTGGATCAAAATAAACATAATATCTAGGTAATCCGATTATTTTCTACGCTTTTTAAAATATTAAATCAAATATTTTATAAATAGATATTTATGTATTGATCTATAAAATAATTTTTTTTAAAGAACTCACTGCATTGATAATGTTGAGTAGTATTGTATCTGATGAGATACAGGATCCATCTGTACTAGGTATTCAAGTATCCAGGGTAGAGATATACATAATCGTCCTTTCTTCTCCGCTCTACTCAATACCTATATACAACACATTTCTCAGAGATATACATAATCGTCCTTCCTTCTCCGCTCTACTCAATACCTATATACAGCACATTTCTCAGAGATATACATAATCGTCCTTCCTTCTCCGCTCTACTCAATACCTATATACAACACATTTCTCAGAGATATACATAATCGTCCTTTCTTCTCCGCTCTACTCAATACCTATATACAACACATTTCTCAGAGATATACATAATCGTCCTTCCTTCTCCGCTCTACTCAATACCTATATACAACACATTTCTCAAATAAACTCAGAACTATTTTTTTAGAAAATTGATGTTTTTACTCTTGAAAACAGAAAAATAATTTGTATTAATTTATTCTAGAACAAAGACCTGCAGATTTATCAGGAACAAAAATCTCAGATTTTTATTAGAAATATTGACACAAAGTGCAATTTGAGCCTGGTTGATATTTTTTTACTTTAGTATTTTAGAAGTTAGTTAGTTAAGACAGATCTAACATTCTTAGCAATATATTTGCAGGAGAACATGTTGATCCGATGCAGGTTGGAGAACTACTGGATTTCCACCAGCATATATCTTTTCTCATTTTTCTTGCAGGATTCCTAGTTCTGATTTCAGGAGGAAACCTATCCTCTTCAGTATTATTATTTATATATATTTTGATAACTGATAATACTTTCGTAAATATATCAAAACAATACAGGAATTTGTCCAGGAACGGGGTCACAGCCCCCTTGTTAAGGGCTAAACCTCTCACATAAAAGTTGCAAAAAATGATCGCAACATATCTAGGGCCCCCCTACACCTTGATAAGAGCTCATGGCTCCTGTAAACACCCTTTTCGGTTGGACCGAAGTTCGGTAAAAATAAAATGTACTTTTTTCACCAAACATTGCCTAAAAATAACTTATCAAGGGGAAGTTCGGTAAACATGAAATTAAAACGTTTTAGATTTTTTTGCAAGCTTAGCTTAAATATTATCTTTACAGGGGCCGAGGGTGGGGGGGGGGGTTCCTGTTGGGTGATAAACCCCTCACCCCCCCGTGTTAAGTACCTGTATAATATCTATAGATGGAAGAGATTTTTTTCTCATCAATAGAACTGGATCTTCCTCTTGAAGGTTTCTAAAAAGGTCTTTTATATCAAATCTCTCAATTTTAACAATGAAAACTTTTACTTATATTTAGAGAAAGGAACTGTAAGCGTAAATTCAAGTAACCCTTCTCCATGTATGGATTTTTCAAAAAGATTTTTAAAATAGTTTTCAGGTTTTAGTTTTGTAAGATCGTTTTGGTTAATATCTTGATCAGAGTAAAGATTTTGCTAAGAATCCGGATCCGCAAGATTTTGACTTCCTGGATCCGGATCTGCAAAAATATGCGGATCCACGGATCCGGATACAAGGGGTAAAATATCAACCAAAAACTGCAAAAAAACCTTTTTACTCCTAAAACCCAAATATGAACTTTTAAAAAAAGAGAGATTATAAAAATTTCCTGTTTTCTGAATGGTTCATCAAGTTTTAGGATAAAAATATGCGAAAAAAATTAAACAAAAATTTGAAAAATATTTTTTGTTAAAAAAATTCAATATATCAGTACAGAAATGACCTGGATCCGGATCCATTTTTTCCCCCGTGCTGATCCAGGATCCGGATCCGGATCCGCATCAAAATCAAATGGATCCTAAGCACTGTTGTGAAGACTTTAAAAGTTTAAAAAGTTTGAATGTTTAAAAACGGGCCTCAAAACGATGGACATCCTAAGCTCATTGCAAAGATGGCAATGCCCTATTTACAACCAAATCCCAAAAAGCTTTGTCTTCCCAAATCTGAATTAGATATTTGCGTTAAATATTTTAAAAACGGATTATTTTCGACTGTGGTTTCTCTACAAAAGTGGGTTGCACATTTCAACTACATGAAAACATGTCGGAATTATATGAACTTAATACTTTTACATTTTTTAAAGCGACATTATCTTTTACATTATTGATCAGATGAAGGTTTCAAGGGTACTGTTGTATAGCGGACATTGCCATTTTTGCATGGCGGGTCACTTGAAATTAACTTTCTTTTTTACAATAATACACGGATTAAGGTTTTCTGAAGGGATTAAAAGTGCAAAGTTTTCGACAATATAAAACTAAAAAAATGAATTAAATATTTTATTTATTAAAATCAAATCAAATCAGAGTTTTAGGGACGTCCTACACCCACACGTTAAGACTGAAGTGACAATACTAAATCAATAATGATGTGAGGTTTTACGATTCCTACCCTATATCTATTTTACTAGGTTTATTTATAAAGCATTATACGATTATCTTTATTTTGGCTTTTGTGATAAATTTCTTTCTGTCTCAATTTTTGACATTTTAGGCACAAAGGACATCCGACGTTATTGCCAGACCGCCAATCACAGATTCTAGTCCTCAGTCCAATTGCATTAATTATTATGACTGAAGACAGGTTTCTGCCCTGTTGGCTGGTGAATTTGAGAACATTTTGATTATGAGCTCAGCGCAACTGGAATATTTCAAGTCATTATGCTTAAAGCAACTTGAATATTTAAGTGATTATGCTTAAAGCAACTTGGATATTTTAAGTGATTATGCTTAAAGCAACTTGAATATTTCAAGGAATTATGCTTAAAGCAACTTGAATATTTCAAGTGATTATGCTTAAGGCAACTTGAATATTTCAAGGGATTATGCTTAAAACAACTTGAATATTTCAAGGGATTATGCTTAAATCAACTTGAATATTTCAAGGGATTATGCTTAAAGCAACTTGAATATTTCAAGGTATTATGCTTAAAGCAACTTGAATATTTCAAGTGATTATGCTTAAAGCAACTTGAATATTTCAAGGGATTATGCTTAAAACAACTTGAATATTTCAAGGGATTATGCTTAAAGCAACTTGAATATTTCAAGGGATTATGCTTAAAACAACTTGAATATTTTAAGTGATTATGAGCTTAAGAATTAAAGAGTTAAGCTTACCTAGAACTCTGAGAATCTAGAGAGGATATAAAAGGAAAGAACTCAACGAACCCGAGAAATTTGCCAAGAACTCTGAAACATAAAACTAGAATTTCCAACTAGAAGAATGAATAAAAATAAAATATTTTGAGAGGATTAGATAGGAATTCTAACAAAGATGAAGTAACACAAATAAAAGAAAACAAAGCAAAGCCAGTTCTTTTAACAATCATGTATTTCAGGTTTAGTTTCTGTGAGTAGATTTCATCTTTATTTAAAAGTATCTAATGCTCAACTAGACATTTGTTATTAATTGTAAATTGTTTGTTATTGTACAGGGATTTTTTCTCTCTAAACCTACGTTAGACAGTAGACACAGTTTTTAAATTCAAGTTTTGATCCATTTCAGAAACAAATTCAAAATTATGAAGATGCCCCTTTTGTCTGAAGTTTCCAAAATAGACTGAAAAAGCATATTGTTCGAAATAAAAATCTTAAACTATCATTTGTTTTTTCTTTATAATAAAAAATTAAATTGGATACTCATAATCCCGATCCACAGATCTAGATATCTACTGTGTGAACTTTTAATTTGAAGATCAATGCTTAATCTCTTTATTTCAGATATTCGTCCTTAGTACAATTACCATGCAGGTTATCTAATAAAGATTAAATTAATCTGCAGATTAACAAAAGATCGAAGCAAGCATTGATATAGTTATCCACAATACATGAGTTCCCAGCTTTGGGGGTCCGTCCTAGAAAACGATTTTTGGACCCCCCCTCCTCCGCCCCTCCTATCAATTTTGTACATAACCACTTATTTTTCAGCAAAATTATTTTTTATTTATTTATTATTTTAGGGTTAGTTTAGGTTAAGACAATAAACAATAACCTGAGAGTTAGTATTGAGAATTGAATTGTCTGGTTGGTTTGAGGATCTAATAGACCTGATGGTTGGGATATATCTTCTGTCACACTTATCTCACTAAACATAATTAATAGGCTTTCTTCAATCTTTAAATCTAGGAATAACCTTTCCTTATTTATCTTTATTTATTACCGCCCTTTATCTCTCTAGATCTGAACTAAAGTTTATAACTCTCAACTATTGATTTTCTACTATTTTCAGAGAGAATGGTAGTTCAACTAGGTGTGGTTAGATTAACTACTTTCCCTGTGCTTCCAATCTCTAATAAAACCTGTCCGACCTAGCTGAACTACTATTATCTATATCTATACATTTCCAAAGTTGAGAGTATACCTCTTCAACCCATATTAAATACACCAAATATTTACCAAATATCTAACATTGGAGTTCTCAGGAACTAAATAATGGAGACGGAAACTTAATGAACAAATTGATCTCATTCTTTCCTTGCCTGGAGATTAATCGATCCTGCATTTGTCAATAGTTAGGATGTCTTGTAAATCAGAACGCTTAAAGGGCCTATATAGTATATATACAAGTAATTTAAGGTGTCCCTCCACGCTCTGTCTACTTGATTTGATTTGATTGAATATGGGCTAAAGTAAAACTTTTTACCATGGATTTAATTGTCATTTATTTAAACTAACGGAAATTTTAAATTAGGTTATAGAGCAATACAAACCTTCAAGTTTAACAATCAATAAAAAAGAACCACAATCAAAACTTTACTTTCCTTCACAATTGATTCTAAGCCGTCGATTTGCACGTCTTGCAATATTTGAACAATAACATCACTTAAATCTTTAATGTTCCTTTTAAATTTTAACTTGCGTCATATAAAATCTCGACATGATTCAAGATGCTACATGGATCCTACTAACGTAACAACTATAACCCTATTTATGATTATAAAACCTACCTGATCCTACTGACGTCACTTCTAATAAGTAAGCTTTGATCCTCTACTCCGAAATGTTTCCCCTCAATCTAAATGATCAAAAGTAAATATATCAGGGTTTTATTATTACATTCTTTATTTCATTTTATGATATCAATAGACAGATCTAATTAGCTTTCGAACAAAAAACTAAAAATTCTTTAAAAACTCTTAATATTTTCGATGAAAGTGAGTCAAGAAAAAAAAATCCGTGATCTTTTTTACTCTTAAAATAATTTTTAACGAAATTTTTCATATCATTATGGGGCTTCTTGCAGATCTCATCTCACATAATCACATAATAACATTTTAGTAAATTCTAAAATTTATCAAGGTGGGCTGCAGGCAATGGGAGAAAATTTGCAAAAATCGTATTAAGTAGATTCGCAATTTCAGTTAAAGTGTAATTGTTCAAGCAAATGTTTTCTATAAATATATCTAAAAATTCAAAATGTGATTGTGAAGTGTCTCTAAAAGAATTAAGGACATTTTGAATAATTTTGTAATTTTTGTTTGTAGTCGACTGATTAATACATGTACTTTATTTAAGTATTGGGGATTTTCTTTAAATATTTTTTAATTGGTGAACCTAATATTCATAAAATGTTCATGATATTTCAAACTATGAATTCTGTTAGGTAAAATAGCCTTAGATTGAAATATCAAAGGTTTACAACATCAGGGTGCAAAAATATAGGAGTACTTGCAACTGTGCAACACAATGTCGTAGACTTTTGATATTTCAAACTATGAATTCTGTTAGATCACATGATTTAAGTTTGAAATATTTTAAACCATCAGATTTCACAAATATAGAAATTAGAAAATTTGGGTTTGTCGCAAACACTCAATTCCGTCCTTAAAAATATTGCAAAATACCATAAATGATTCCAATATCCTTTTTAATATTCAAACAACAAATGAAGGCCCTTTATCCAACATGTTGAGGAGTTTGATTTGGACTGTATAGTGTATATAAACTGTTATCAACGTCTAGATTATCAAATATTATAATTTTGTATAATATCACCTTGAGAATTTGAAATATTAAACTGTGTTTGAGATGAGCAAGAAATCTTGGGGAGTTACAATGAAGAATGAAGTCCCTAAAGAACTCAGAGGCACCTAAAAAAGTAAAATTCCTAAATTCGTGTGTTTAATGATGTTCAATTGGTGCTAGGTACTTTCCCAAGGGCGACTTCCCAAGTATCAATTTCCCAAATGTGCAATTTCCCAAGTGGTAACTTCCTAAAAATTAGGTTAGGCCCTCTGAGGCACCACATGCTGAAATGGGGCCAAGCACTGTGGCTAGGATCGGCTAGGGGGCCGAGCGTCCCGGCTAGAACAGGCGGGGGCGAGGACTGCGGCTAGGAAACACTTGGGAAATAGCACATTTGGGAAGTTGCCACTTTGAAAACTACCCTTGGGAAGTTGCCGCTTGGGAAAATGCCTTTGAAAAAGTACCTAGCATCGTTTAATGTGTAATGATAATGCTTATGATTAACGTAGGGAGATAAATTATCAGAAATATGTTTGTTTTTAGTTTTCAAATAATTAAATTTTCTGGGTTAGAGCCATCTACATAAATATTATTGAAATAGATAATGTTCTAATTATATTCAATTGGAACAAAATCTTTTAAAAATTTAAATGCAAAGAAACTTTTCAAAATTGCCTCTCATTGTAAATGCTAACGATAGAAAAATAATGAATGCCATTTTTACTATCAGGGTGTATACAGGAATCAGGGTGGGGGCTACATTGTTTTTCCTTCCAGGGGGGCTCAGCATCCGTTGGAGCCTAATAAACCCCTTGGAAACCATTAGATTTTGATGACCCAGGGAGAGGTTGAGCTAGCCTCCCCCCCCCCCATAAGTATCATATCATCTTGTTCAATTATATACTTATCATACAACCGATTTTTAAAAATATTTACCTGAGAAAGCTGGAGGGGGGCATGGTCCTCCGAGTTGACCGGGAGTTATCAGCCGAGCAGCTAGTCTGGCGTACTTGACCGGGTCAAGCTTCTGGATGTGTGAGAGTTCGTTCTTGCCCAGACTTTGCTGGTTCCTTCCTAAACCTTCCTTCACCTTACTTGGTTCCTCACCCCTAGAACACGAATGATTTTTTACAAAACAGTACCCTTAAAAACAGTACCCTTAAAAACAGTACCCTTAAAAACTTTGTCCAACTATGCATGAATTCGATTATAGAATACCATATTTATAATTTGGAAAACTGATTATTTTCATTTTTGGTTTTCCTACAAAACTGCATAGAAACTGACATGCAAAATGAAATGAAAATGACCTTCACTGAGTGCACACTGCACAGTGCACAATACACATGATAAGAATTTGACCGGCACATGACTAGAATCTGACCTGCACATGACAAATATTTGACCTGCACATGACTAGAATTCGACTTGCACATGACTAGAATATGACCCGCATATTTTACATGACTTGAATTTGACCTGGTAATGACTAGAAAATGAATACTACATAAGTTATATCTGACCTGCACACATGACTAGAATTTGGCCATCTGATGACTAGAAAATGACTAGCACCTGACTAATATCTGACCTGCACATGACTAGAAGTTGATGAATGAAGAGAGAGCAGAAGTGTGTATAGTTAACATTATGATTATGCATCTTCAAAACATCTTCAACCTAAACCGTAGTACAGAAAATAGAAAACAACTAGAAGCAAAGTAAATATCTATATATACATATATATATAGAAAGTAGAAATCTGTTTGTTTGTTTGTGTGTCTGATCATAACTCAGGAACCCCTTAACCGATTTTTCTCAAATTTTGAAGAGGAACTCGGTAGAACCACGGAAATGTTCTTAGCTTGGTTTCAAAGTTTTAGCTTGAATAGGTTGACTCTAAGAAAACTTAGTTTCCAAACAAAGCTGGGTTCCCAATCTAATATAAAACACTAGCTTGGGAACCCAGTTTTGTCTGGATACTAAACTTTCGCTAAAAAGTTGACTTAAATTTTATAAACTCAGCTAAGAACATTCCCATGATTCTACCTAGTTCTACAATCAAAATTTTAGGCAAATCAGTCAATGGGGTTCATGAGTTATGATCGGACATACCAACAAACAAACACAGATTGCTTCTTTAAATATATAGAAGAATATGTCGGCAGACACAGTCACACAATGGTGGTCAAAAAAAAGTAATTTGCTTCAAGTTTTAAAATTTTCAAATTCACCAGCAAAAACAGACAAATTATATTGTTAAATTTTGTACGACTAGACATTCAGGGTGTTTCCGGTAACATATATAAATATATTTATTTATATTTATATATTAAAGAAAAAATGAAGAAAACAAGATAAGTCCATTACCTGAGATCCAAAGTCTGAGGGAAAATCGTATTCTTTTCCTCTTGAGTGATCACTCCAACTTCTTATCTTTAGAAATAAAATACATTTGTTACATATTTATCTTTGAGTGAGGGTGTGTTTAGGGGGTGGGGGTATAAGCAGAAATGAAAATATTAATAAAAATTTCAGATTGAATTGGAATCTGAGAGAAGTTACTTTTTTACTAATGTTGAAATGAAATTTATTGTCAAGATCCATTAAATCCTTTGTTCTTTTAAGACTTTCATATTTTCAAGAAATTTTATAAAAGCAGCTCCCCCTTTTTCTGAATTTTATAGCTCCCCTTGAATAAGATTTACCAAGGCATAGAACTTGTCTCTTTGCTTCTTGAAGTCATGAAAGGATGTGTTTGAAGGGAAGTTGAACCTATTATCCGTCTCACTTTGGAAGCTTACGTTCTGTAGACCACTGAATACAGTTTGTTTTTATCCATGTACTGGCTGAAGTGCCCGGCGTTGCCCAGGTTCATATTTATAATTATTGTCATAGTAACTAATAATTCAAGTTGAAGTGCCCGGCGTTGCCCAGGTTTATATTTATAATTATTGTCATAGTAACTAATAATTCAAGTTGAAGTGCCCGGCGTTGCCCAGGTTTATATTTATAATAATAGTCATAGTTACTCATAATTTAAGCTGAAGTGCCCGGCGTTGCCCAGGTTTATATTTATAATAATAGTCATAGTTACTCATAATTTAAGCTGAAGTGCCCGGCGTTGCCCAGGTTTATATTTATAATAATAGTCATAGTTACTCATAATTTAAGCTGAAGTGCCCGTGGAATATAAAAAATCACCAAATTATATTGGCCTATTTTATAGATTAATGGCTGGTTTTACATTAGTCCAGTGGTAAATATTTTGAAGAATTTTCACCCTTTTGGATTGTGGAAACTAGTTTTCAATGATTCCACTATTTTCTTCAATTCAGCGAATATAACCTTAAAATACCTTATATCCTAAATCAATATGTTTTCAAGAGGGGCCGGGTTTGGGGTAAATTTTTTTTCACGAAAATATATTCTCCTGCAACACGTACTTCACAGCAGTTAAAAACAGAAATTTTCAAAAAATTTTCTAAATATTTATTGTTTCTGAATAATAGCCTGTAAAACTATACGGAAAATAAAAATATTTAGTTTTAAAATTATTATGTTTTATTTGTTTGGTGGAATCCTCACTCCTCAGCATACACTACTCTAATTCCATTATCCATCTATCTTTCTATCTATCTAGGTTGCATTTATTCTACACATGAAACCCTGTTTTAACTAATCATATATTTACATAACATGAGGTTGGTACTTTTATGTATACACTATACACCCCTGTTGAAGGGTAGGAGGAATATTTTTAGTCCTTTCACAAAACTTTTCTTTTAAGGAAAACCCCGAAAACTGGTGGCATAATTTCTTTTACTTTTAATGACCCTTTGACAATGTGTAGTAAAATTTTTGAACTAACTATGAAATATTCACCTAAGTTTTTGTTTAGTACTGGGACTGGGAACCTGGAGATCTGAGTAGAACTCCTCTATCCGACCTGCCAGGGACGGAGAGAAGGATTTTATTCTCGAGTTTTCCATCAACTGTCTCAAGGTACACCTGGATGCTTTGCATTATACTTTATTCTTAATATTTTTTCATTCGAAACTGCACGTTGAAAATATGTATCAGACTTTTGATAAATCTTTTAGAATCTGATTAATGGTCAGTAAATGGAAAAAATCTGAAAAATATTACAGACAAATATATTTTTGACAAAAATATTTTAAATTTTTTTGATATTTTGACGACATTATCAATTTTATATGAACGACTTAACATCTTTTGTTTCAGAACATCGGATCTTCATACAATCATAGGACTTGATAGGAATTACCTATTAACACATTTTTTCTGGTTTGATATTTTTGAGAATTTCACGAAACACGACTTTTTATTGAAGGAGACAACGTTTATCACATATTTCTTTTAGCTTTTAGTGTTCACTGTACAGTGCAAAGTGTACAATGCACAGTGCAAAAATACACTGTAAAGTGTAAAGTTTACACTGCACAGTGCAAAGTGTACACTGTACAGTACAAAGTGTACACTGTACAGTGCAAAGTGTACACTGTACAGTGCAAAGTGTACACTGCACAGTGCAAAAAATACACTGTAAAGTGTAAAGTGTACACTGCACAGTGCAAAGTGTACACTGTACAGTGCACAGTGTACACAGTTTAGTGTGTACCTGTCCAAATACTGCAGACAGGTGCTGATCAACTCCAACACCTTGATACTGAAGTAAACGCAGTTGTGAACTGAAGAAAACATCTGCTCTACATCTAACCAATAAACTACACTTATATTTTTTCAATTTAGCAGAAGAGTGATATTTATAAATGACCAATATGTCCTGAAAAACATCCAGGATAATTTTATTTTCATAATGTATTGTTGGTTCCTGGTGAATCTTCAGTTTCTCCGGTCTCTAAGAGGAACATCTCCACCAGGAAATACAGTTCTACGGTCAGGTTCGGCATCAGGTTCTCCAGGATAATGTGAGAGTACAGAGAGATAAGAAGGTTGAGATGCTCCTTCCAGGTTACACAACCAGGATCAGGTTGAACTAAAGGAGGAGCTGGTCTACTTCTGCACCAATATTTACAATCTCAAGTTTTCAAGTTTTCAATTTGTACAGTCTTGATATTGGAAATCAAGTAGATCAAAGAACTTTAGTTTGAAAAGTTTCAACAGTTGGGAAAAACCAATTTCCAGTCCAATTTAAGTTTTTAAGTTTTTAAAACAAAGATATTATGAATTTTCAATATTTGAATAATATTCCCCCCCCCCAACCAGTGCACTTTGATCATATCTCCCCGTCCAGTCCCACACATATTACTCATAATTAGCTCATAAAAAATTTAGGTATCCTACACCCTTGTCTTACACATAAAGCTATCTAACTATTTTTATGCTAAATATTTTCCTTGAAGTAGAAGCCAACTTGTTTGGAGTTATCCCGGGAGCTTCTTTTGAAGGAGTAATCAGGGCAGCTTCCTAGATTATATCTTTTATAAATTCATTTTAAAACATTTGGTTTTGCTCGAAATGATATGATTGACGAATAAGAAACTTTTATTTAAATTCTGCAGAAGTTTGTAAAGAATCATACTAAGTGTTATTAGCAGCGTAAATGTCATGTCAGGTTTTATGCACATTTTTGTTAAGAAATTGTGTTTATTGTAATTGTTTAGATCAGAAAATTCTAAAGTTTCAAACTTATATTGCAAAAGAAATGGATAAAAAGGTATAATTTACACCAAAACTAGTTTTTAAAATGTGCTAGGGCCATATTAGCAAAAACAATTACAATTTAAGTTTCTGCGGAGTTTCTCCGGCTCGACTTGCCTTTATCATTCCTCGTTCATCGAAAGTTTGTCTCTCCACCTCCACGACAGAAAAAGATGAGCTGAACCCCGACCCTCCTCCTCCTGGATAAATGTTAGATAGTTCGGGATATTAGGATTAAGTCACAAGAATGAATATATACAAGGATAAGGAGGCAATTTTAAATTCCGTAAGAAAATAATATAAGGCACAAGAAATTCTTGAAATTGGGATTCTTTTAAAGTTTATAAAAAGATGAGTGATAAATAAGTTTATGCCAAATAAAAATTAAATTAGGACTTGTTACTTATAAGACATAAGACCAATGACAAATTTAGGGTGGCTCTTCGAAATTGGTCACATTAAAGGGATTGAATCTATTTTCTGTCCCTACTTCTTGTCACTGTTAACTACAACAGAGCCGGCGATTTAAAAAATTCAAGAAAATACGACTCGGGTCTAAGCTGTTGTTGAGCCTTATTTACGGCTCGAGCTTTCGAATTTAAGTTGCATCTATTTTTCAACAGAATTTAGTTCATAAAACCGGTGTTTAATGTTGTATTTGGCGGATTTTCATAGTTGGAATTGGTGCATTCCGGGTTTTGATGAGAATAAGACCCAACATTGAGCCTTATTATTCACTAAAACCAACCAAGGTTGGTTTTATTTTCATTGGGCTTAACTCCTTAAGTCGAGCCTAAGATCTCGCAGCTGTCAATCACGTGACACAAGCTCCACAAGCTGTAGTCAATGTTGGGTCTAAGATTGGGTCTTAAAGCTGCGTTTAAGGAATTAAGACTCGAGCCGAAGCTTTTAAATCGCGGGCTCAGTGTAGCCTGGTGTTAAGCGGCTACATCAGCAGTCCACAGTTCTCATTACGCCTGACTGGCTTTTTATTTATCAAATTTTAGAATTTTTGGCAAATAAGAATTCTATATATCAAGAATAAGGATTAAGAGCCCGCGATTTAAAAGCTTCGGCTCGAGTCTTAATTCCTTAAACGCAGCTTTTCGACCCAATCTTCGACCCAACTCTGACGACAGCTTGTGTCACGTGATTGACAGCTGCGAGATCTTAGGCTCGACTTAAGGAGTTAGGCCCAATGAAAATAAAACCGACCTTGGTTGGTTTTAGTGAAGAATAAGGCTCAATGTTGGGTCTTATTCTCATCAAAACCCAGAATGCACCAATTCCAACAATGAAAATCCGCCAACTACAACATTAAACCGGTTTAATGAACTAAACTCTGTTAAAAATTAGATGCAACTTAAATCCGAAAGCCCGAGCCGTAAATAAGGCTCAACGACAGCTTAGACCCGAGTCGTATTTTCTTGAATTTTTTAAATCGCCGGCTAAGGATTGTTAAAAAATTGGGATATGGATTATAGCTGAAATTCATAAAATTATTATTTTTAAAAAATGGATGATTTATATCGATACGAGAGTTAATAAGAAAAACATCCGCTAGCTTCTCTGCCTTCCTTTGTTTTTAAAAAGTACGTTTATCATGATATTTAGAATGCACGTTTGATAGAAACTCGAAAATTTCTCCTTTTCAGCTATTCAATATACCTAATTATTACTCTGAGTGAAAAACCTTTCGGAGAAATCTATTCAGCATATTTAACGAAAAAGAGATTAAAGAAATCTGAGGCTATTCGTGTTAATATAAACTGAAACATTTCTTTGAAAGTCAAGTCTAGCTAATCAAGGCAGTTTACCTGAATGTTTTGGTATTCTTCCCATACCCGGCGGTATACCCGTTCCTGTCACACTTGTCAGAGTTATCGGTTTTATTCTTTTCTTTACTTCTCCTTCTCCAATACAAGGGAACATATGCTTGCTCTCTAGGTCAAGCTTTCTACCCACATCGGCCTCAATACGATCCAATCTGGACATAAAACTCTCCGGATTCGGAGTACTAGACTTTATCCGACTTTTGGTCTTTTTAGGACTCCTAGACCCGGACTTTTTCCAACCTGTGGAATCAGGATTGAGAAAGTCTCCTAGGTTAAAGGGTTGGGGAGAAGGGGTTTGTTTCGAGAATATCTTCTTATGGTCTCTATCTTCGTTGGTTCGGTCGGACTTGAGTTTATTTTGTCTGAGTGGGGTTGGAGGTAGTTCACCAACCCCATCTATACTTGAGAAACTATCCAGCTCAATACCATCATTTACAGATATACTGGACGGAAACAGTTTAACTTTCTTCTTCTCCTTCTTTCTAACATTGGGCTGGTCAGTCTTAGAAACCGGTTTAACAGGAGAATTGTAATCGTACTTTCCTGTTCTTTTTCCCTTGCTTGGGGTCTGCTTGGAAATGTTGCAGGAAAGAATCCTAAATACAAATATTAAAACCAAGAACTTCTCCAAACTATACAGTTTACAGTGTACAATGTACAGTGTACAATGTACAGTGTACAACGTACAGTGTACAATGTAAAGTGTACAGTGCACAGTGATCATTAATATAATTTTATAAATAAGTCGCAAGTTTATACATGGACAAAATAAAGGAATAAGACTTTTGAAAAAATGTCTGCTTAAGTCATCGACGAATTCAGGATCAGTTCAAAGTAAAGTATAAATAATCATTTTTGGTCTGTTTTTAATAGAGGAGTTTGTATTACACGTAAATAAGATTTTTACAAGTTTAGGACAAGTATAATGATAAACAAGAGCTACAGAAAATTATTCAAGATTTTATAGTTTTGCTCGGGAAATGCCATATTGCCAGATTGTTTAAACTTGGATTACTTACTTTGCTGTAGAGTCTCTGAGATAGTTAATGAGATGAAGAGGGAGTTCCTCTCTAAACTGCCACACCTCCTCGTCTAGTCCCACAGGGGGGTTCACGCCCTTTAATTTACTGAAAACAGTTAATCCATTAAATTCAAAGTAAATCCTAAAAATATAAATCATGTAATCTCTAAATATCCGAAGAGATTTTATTTAAAAACGGAAAATTTCTAAGTTAAAAATGAACATTTCCATAACTTCAGTTTTTAGATCAGGCAAAATAAAAAAAAATCCGAAATTACCTAGCAATGTCTGCGAAAAGGTTTGGATCTTCCAGCAGTTTATTGAGAAGACATGCCATTTTGTTCAGAATTTTTATCTGAAATATTAGTTTATTTGATGTTGGCCAGTTTATTCACGGAAAAGGATGCTGTACAAGCTTGTGAAGAGAATTCGAGATTACAGTCGTCCACAGACCAAACTATTTCAGATGATCCTACATAAAATAAGGTTTTATCAATGTTGAACTTTAAGAAATTTGAATAAAATTAGAATTTTCACAATAAAATCCTTAGTCATTAATAAAAATTGAATAGCTCTTTTTTGTTTACTTGAAGAATTAAAGAGCTACTCATCTTTTGAGGTCATAGAATTAAAAATTGTAATTTGAATTAATTCCCTTAATATAAATGAAAGGAAGAATAGTAATGTATACGGACCTCACGACCACCGCAAGGAGAAAAAGCAATTATTTAGCTGGAAAAGATCTAGAAGTTGCCATTCAAAAAACACGTAGAAGCGATTACATCCACCTTTCCTTTTTGGCAGCTATTTTCAAAAGTCAAAATAAAAAAATAATAAAACATGTAAAGTTTAAACCTTTTGAAGAATTAAATACTTCAATAGTTCTTTCCCCCGAGAATTCCTCCATGTAGAAGTTACAGAGGTTTGATCCGATACTGCAGAGATGCTGAGCTTCTTTCTTCAGATCCCCAACCTTCTCCAGGCTAATATTCTCTTCAGATAGATCATTATTCTTCTCCAGATCTTCCTCTGGAACAGCTTTATCAATCTCAGTTTCAACGCAAAGTGGCAACCTGATAATAAATAACATTTAATAATAGACTTTATATTATGTCAAGTTGTTATTAAGATTTTAGAAAAAGATAGGTTATGATAAATATATATATATATATTATATCAATTTTGTGAATGAGAAAACTTAAAACTTTATTTTGGAATCAAATTTTTTTATTCAAGGGCATTTTTAAAATATATAAAGGGGCATTTTTTTAAAACTAAGGATTATTTTTTTGTTGGGGGCAAAACTTCTTAATTTTTTAAACATTATCAAAATAAAATAAGGTGCATGTTTTTGGATAGGGCTGTAAATTTTTAAGTTGGTTGTATTTATAAAACATTTGGGGATAAAAATTTAATTTTTGGTGACATTCTGTAAAAACAAGGGTTACAAATGTTGAATAAAGGGGCAAATTTACGTCTGGTGGGCAAATTTTAATAAGGATGTGTGAGTGTGGCTTTAAAAAATCCAAATTTGGAGGCATTTTTAAAGAAAGGGGAAAAATAAAAGAATCTGAGCTTATATTAAAAATGTTATACTTAAATTTTGAGTTTGCTTTAAGAGGCTTTTAAAAAATTACTGTGAAGAGATATTTTTTCAAATTTTTGAGAAAATCAGCTATTTTTTGGACTATATGAACCCCTGTTGAGGACTTCTTACCCGGCAAGCTTTCTTAAGGGGGGGGCATGTCCCCCCTTAATCAGACTAGGGAGCCTGGCCCCCATTCCCCCCCCCCTAGTTGCGCGCCTGCCTTTTCATTAATTTACTTCTGCTTATCCTTTTCATTCTTTTCATTCATTTACTTCTTTTTAGCCTTTTCATCCTGTTCATTCTTTTCATCCTTTTCATCCTTTTCATCCTTTTCACCCTTTTCATCCTTTTCATCCTTTTCATCCTTTTCATCCTTTTCATCCTTTTCACCCTTTTCATCCTTTTCATCCTTTTCATCCTTTTCATCCTTTTCATCCTTTTCATCCTTTTCATCCTTTTCATCCTTTTTTGATCCTTTTGATCCTTTTGATCCTTTTGATCCTTTTCATCCTTTTCATCCTTTTCATCCTTTTCATCCTTTTCATCCTGTTCATCCTTTTCATCTTTTTCATCTTTTTCATCCTTTTCATCCTTTTCATCTTTTTCATCTTTTTCATCTTTTCATCTTTTTCATCTTTTTCATCTTTTTCATCGTTTTCATCGTTTTCATCATTTTAATTCTTTTTAATGATTTAAACTTAATGAATGATAAAGTTTCTCATACATGTTTTGCATATTGACAATGCACATGAAAGTGGACACATTTTGGTGAATTTACAAATACCTGTATATTCCTGTACAATAGGTAGATGTTAGATACACAACAGAGCCAATACCAATTGCAGAGTGAAACTCAATTCCTTCAGGAATGCTACTGCATCGTAAAAATATTAGAAATACAAGTATGATGTTAAAGAAAAACATTATTACAACCGTCTGATCAATTATGGTTTCTCTTGAAAAGTGACTTTATAGAAAGTTATCGGAATTTAACACAATTAAGGATACAAAACAGGGATATTTAATGGGGACATGCCGATATGAGTGGATTTCAATAATAATAATCATTATTAGGTGGTTACTTAAATTAGGTCTACACTCTACAGATGAAAAATAATAGGAGATGATTCAATTTCCGAAATAACGAAAAATAATTGTTATGATTTTAATCTAATAGATTCCTGGATAAGATTCGAATGGATTTCCAGGTATCCTGGGTTGGATAATATGTATAGAAGCTTCCTCCTCTCACAACTACAAGGTTTCCCTGAATACCAGGGTTATCAAAAGTGTAATTGTCAAATAAATCAAGATGGGTATCAATATATCCGTCTTGCAAAACTGAGTTCAGAAACGTTAAAATATATTTAATTTTCACCAAAAAAAAGGTTTATAGGAAAGAATATCATTCGAAGAGTACCAAAAAACTAGTTTTTAGTCTTAAATCAACAATTTTTAAATTATCAAAAAAACGGACAAAGTGTTACTAGAAAAAAGTGTTACGTTCGGCCTATTCCTACTTTGTTATGACTGCATCATTTTTTTTAGCTCAGTATAAGGTTTGAAGGGTACAGTTGTATTTTAATCTACAGTGCCTTTTTATATGAAAACATTTCTCTTCTACAGAATATTTTACTTTTTTAATTAAGGATCAAGATTTATTTTTGATTTGGGAAAAATACCTTGTGTTCAGTAGCTGCTAGCTTGTACATTGAGGAAGGAAGAGAAGCACATTCAAACTGTAAAAAAAACATAACAAATTATTTATATAATGTACTAGATTGTACAGGATATCTAGAACAGTTCCTGAACTGCTATTATGAGAGATTATAAGAGCAGAAGCAAAAAAAACAGAAAGTTGTTTGGCTTTTGATGCAGTAGACAAGTCATTAAAATGTCCTGTAGACTGTAATGGATTGGGATAAGTGTTTCCGGATTTAAAATTACAAGTGATCAGCTGGGACAAGTCTTAGTTAAAAGTTCCTCACACACTGAATAGGATATAGTTCTGATCTGGTTGATCATCTAGACCAGAGAAGGTGACAAGTCTAGCCAAGGACAGATATCTTTTCTCTTTAATCCTTTAAATACATACCTTAAACTTTAACTGTGCGATAAATACGTAATACGATGGTTTTTATCATGTGATATCAAATACATTGTAGTAATTGAATTACATCAATTCCTGTTAACTTTGTAACCTAAGCTATTGAATAAAGTTAGTTAATTGAGACTCTGATTTGATTACGGTATTAAAAGTCTGTGTTCTCGTTTAAACATGAAGAGCAGAGATCTTGCTAGTTGATTTAGCATTAAACCTATAGAAAGCTTGAAAATAGAGCTTTTGGTTCTAGTTAAATTATACGAGTTGAGAAATTGCCTGTCAACATTTGTATTGGACACTGTGTGTCCTTTAAATATCGGACAAAGGTTAACATTTCTAGATGGTACAGACCTTTATCACAGACTATCTTTATCATGGATAATTCTAGATTTGGCTGTGTACAGTCTTTCTATTTCCTATTAGCTTTAGTTCCAGGGACCAAATACCTTAACCTTATAGGCTGAGTTAAGCCAATCTTCTAAAGCGTGAAATGGTGCACATTTAATTATCAAATATATTTCTATGTCTAGTTAGAAGGAAGATTGTTTTTATCAATAAGAAAAGAAACAATGTGCAATGGTTGTGAATTAAGCGTATAAAGAAACAAACAAAACAGATTATTTATTTTCATTAACAAACCAATAGCTTAGTACATACTATAAAAGGATAAAAGTAATTATAAAACCGTAGTAGGGTGTTTTTTATATTAATAAAACTTTCAAGATTCCCAAACTGAATTTTGTTAAAGTTTGCTTTATTAAACTTTGCAATATCTTTATCCTCAACAAAAATTAACAAACGATCCAAAAATGATCGCTACAACATGTTCGTTTTTGCATCGTTATTATATCACTTTGGTGTAGTTTTTTTTGCATATAATTTCGGTCAGGGTCAAAATTTGACATTATGTAAAAAGGCAAAAGTTTAGAAAAAATAATTAAAAAATCATTTTCTCTTCTTACACAATACCTAATTTTGAGCCTGAAGAAAATATAAGCAAAAAAGGACATTACTCAGTAGGGTTACCTCTTCTCCTGTGGTTAGATTAATTCTGACAACTGTATTCAAAATAACTCTAGTTTTGTTAAAACCTCCCAACAAGTATAAATAACAACCTAAAAAGTTAAACTAAAAATAACAGAATTTAATTTTTCTTAATGCCAGACAGGAAAAATAAAAAAATCAATTTAATTTCAAACAAATCATTCAGATATTACAACCTATAGTCATCGATTATCTTTCGCCACATTTGTATATATTTAACATTTTATACTAGTTGTGATTTTGTTTTTTAAAATAATATTTAGCTTACAACTTGTTTTCGAACATTCCTGGAAAATATGAAAATCACGGCCCGCTTATAGATATGATTCTATCTATCTATCTACACTGAACTCGGCCACAGTACAAATTTTATTTTGGTAATTTTTTCCATGGGCCTACCAGCTGATGTAGCAAACCGGACCCTAGATTTTTTTTATTCAAAATAGATTTTTTTTTGTTTACAAAGAATTAATATCTGAAGGAAAGTTCAGGGTCCAAAGAGTAGGAAAGTTATACAGCTGTGTTGATAAACAGTGGGCCCTGTGATGTATGAACATGAGGTACTGCAGTGTAATATCTTGTAAAAATAATAGTAATCGTCAAGATAAAATCTTTTTTTCGTTCCCGAAAAATGACCCAAGAGTAGCATGGGCGAAATTTACAGGCCAACCTTCCTCCTGGAATCCGAAAAAATGGAGTGTGATATGCTCAGACCATTTTTCTCCTGATGACCTTAATAGGCTACGACCTGGAGCCATGCCATCCTCTAACCCTCAGTCATTAGCAGTTCAAGGTAATATATGATTCAATTTTTGTTTTAAAAAGTTCGAAAAATGTGAACTTTTTTGATTTTGACGAAAAATGTTATATTCATTTTTAAACTTCTTTAAAAATTAAAAGATTTGTGTGACTGTACAGTGTACATATAGGTAATTGCAAATTTAGAGGTGAAAAACTTGGACAAACGGTAAAATAAATGGGTTTTTCTTAGATATTTGAACAAATTTGAAAATTTGTGTGATTGTGCAAAGGGAGAGGGGTTATAGTAAAAACGGAAATTTACAGGTCCAAAAGTGCGACAAACTGTAAAATATATGGGGTTTTCAAGGGCGTATACAGAATGAAATGTAGGGGGGGGGGCCCAAAAT